AAAATAAACCAGATTTTTAATCCAAACTTAAGATTTACGTTTGAAACTCATTTTATTAACTCCTTTTCGTTAACCCGAAAAATGGAATAGATCTACGATAAATCTTATTCAGTTAGATATGGTAGATTCATATGGGGTATAAAAAGAGTTGACTGCCGAGCCGTCTGAGGTAGGAAACTCTCAAGTACGGTTCTAAGGGAAGGAATTAACCCACCTATTCTGACGACAGGGGGATTCTGAAATTGCGGAGGCTTGGTTTGACCAAGCTGCTGAGTATTGGAAACAGGCTATAACACTTACTCTTGGTAATTATATTGAAGTGCATAATTTGTTGAAGATCACTAGACGTTTCGAATAAAAGACGATACCCTTTTCTTTATTTTAGTTACTAGATTATAACCCGCGTTAAACGCGGGGAACGTATAAAAAACATACAAATGTCTACAGATATTGCATAATAATTATTAAAAAAAATTATGGTTATTGGAATTATTGAAATGTGTAGAAGATACATTGAAATTGATAAATATCTATAATCGTTGAATGACCTCTTTCTATACAACATTTTTTGTTTTATTAGTTGAATGACCTTCCTCGTCACATATAGTTATGATATTGTTATATAAGCATAAATATTCTAATTAGACGTTCATTCCATAATAAGGTTACTTAATTTAAGCCTACAACCAATATACCGTTTTTTCACTGCATTAAATATTGACAACTACAGTATTTCATTTATTCAAATAAACTCATAGAGTATAATTTATGGAATGTTAAATGTTATATGAATTTAATTTTACTATATCATCAATGGAAATTCTTTTTCTAAATCATGATTGATTTATTTTAAATTGATTATGAATATAAGTGTTAGCTTTTATGTTTGTTCTTATTTATTTGGTGTTCACAAGAACTTTGCATTAGCCTTGGAGCAACTTTGAATAATTTTAGTATATCATCAATGTAATTTGATATATCTTTCAGTTATATGAACTATCAAATAATGACATTTCATTACTATTGTGATATTATTGCATTTTTACTAATCTTAACGATCTTATTCTTTTTTTCTAATAACCGTAACGCTTTTACTAATTGTACTTACAAATCTCCTAATATCTTATAATTTTTATCTTACTTTATAATTTTTCATAAATATACTATTTTCAAGATTGACTGTCTTAATATATATATATATATATAGATATATATATATATATATATATATATATATATATATATATATATTGCAGTCTATTTAATTTTATATTTTATTGTACAACATCATCGTTTGTATGCTTAATGTTTACATCTTGATTTTTTTTAAATAAACTCGTGTAATAGTTATGGAATATATATCTTGTTTGAATTAACATTTACTTCATTCACTAAATTAAATTCCTCATTAAACGGATGTATTTTGGAAAGTAATAATTATAATGGGGCAACATTATCTAAGACATAAATGCTTGATATACTTTTGGAAGGAAAAAATCGGGATCATTAAAAAAATTTATATAAAGAAAATACAAATTTAAATTGGGTGAAATTATGGATGAAATTACTGACGAAAATTATTTTGGAGAGAATTGTATTTTGTAAAGTATAATACTATGACAAAATTCAAAATATCTATATTGTAGTGTAAATTTATAAATTTTATTATTACTATATAAAGAGAAAACAAAGTAGATTGATATGTTAAACAAAAAAAATAATTTCAATGAAGGTATATAACTAAAAAATAGAAATTTGAAGATGAAAATTTAAAACTTAGAAGTATGAAGACATGTGATAAAAAAAATGTGTGAAAGAGCTCTAACCACATTTGACCAATTTGTTAGTGAGAAGATTAGAAATGGACCCTCTGATAATGATCTACGAATTATTTCATGTATGACAAAAGGTGAATTCTATAATTAGTGGATTCGAAATGTTTTAAGTAATGCTAAAATAAACATATATATTGAAGTCTAGATGAACATGTCATTTTCATGCAAACGACATGTTTTATGGTATCATGTAGAAAAATAATTTAGAAAATAAAATGTTTTAAACACATATACTTAACTTAGATCCTGATCAACCAGGCTCATCAACGGTTTCTCCCTTGAATTTTCAATAATCACTTTCATGGATTAGTCGACACAACCTGACCAAGAAAATCTGGAACAAAATAAAAAAAAATAAACAGTTGTTATATTATAGATGTGTAATACAATAAATATTTACGTATGGATAAGGTAGAATATTAAAATAAAATATTACCAAATGCAATACGATTGTCGAGATTTCTGACTATCAAATCCTGGAAAGTCACAAAATTATAAGGATCCACCATAACATCAAAATCATTTGATACACGAACGTTGGTTGTTTTGTAGAAATTATTCTTATGCTTATGATCAACCAACATGTAATCTCCTTCATTTTTGGCCATACCAAAACTACTAATTTCCCTTACAGATCCTTCAACAAAGAGGGCTTCAAATGAATTAATGAGATTTTTTTATTGTTGTTTGTATTTTAGTGCCATGTAAGTGAAAAAATTTTGGTTAAGTTTAAAATTTTATAAATTAAAAACAACATAATAATAAAAAGAAAGAATTGTACCTACTCGTCAATTAAAATCATGTCCAAGCTGCTGAACATGTTTAGGTTGTTTTTTAAGTTTCCTTCCAAAGCAAGAGTACTTGAACACGAATGTTTCAGGTTTCCTTGGATGCATTGATGTCAGCAACCTTATCAAAGACGATCTCATCGTGATTGTTTTGTGCCATGGGTGTAAAATGAAAGAGAAAACAATTAGAATTAGAAAGAACTTTTATAAGAAATAAAAGTGACGTATACAATGTATTTATCTATAAAGATGTATTATTTATAAAGAGGTATGAAAGCTATTATAGTTGTCAACAAAATTGTTTCCATACTTAATTTCAAAGGATGCATAAATAGATTATATATTATTTCCTATTAAATCAACCTAAAAGTGTAATATGATCATACCAAAATATTTTAAAATCATACCAAAATTAACCGGATTCTTATGACATAATAATTAAAAAAAATAATAATCATCTCTAATATATAAAAATAACATTTACCTAATTAGTGTAAATTCCGAAGATAGTTAATTTTTGTTTTATTAAAGGTACGTAATATCTTTTCCTCTTTATTTGAAAAGTTTCAGAAAAATAGTTAACCGATTTCATGTAATTTGTGACAAAGAAAATCGAAATATATCAATACATATATTTGATATAGGAACAAAAAAATAATCGAAAAAAATATAAAAAATGAAAGAAGGTACTGACTTTCTATTGCACAACATCGAATGTTTGAAGCAGAGAATGATGATGGAAGTTATAAAAAATAAGAATGATGTTGTAGGAGAAGGTTTGAAGAAAAGCAACGATTGAAAATAAGTGTGAGCCGCGGATTCAATGGTAAATCGTATATATATGTGATAATTTGAATCTGATTTTTTTGGTATTAATGGTTTCCTAATAAAAATGGATTTTATATTAACGGTTGATATTTAATACCTTAATTGAAATGGTTTGTTATTAATATGTTTTTAAAGCTGACCATATTAAAACATTTATAACCGGAAATTCAATATTTAAAATATAGGAAAATTTTATTGGAATTATATACATTCAATTTCAACGGATGTAAGTTAATTTTGTTTGACAATTGAAAAGATTTTATTGGAATTAAATATATTTCATTTGGAGAAAATGATGTCAGCAATTTGATCTAATGATAGAAAACATAAGATTGAAATACAATCAAGGACCCAGATTGTTTAAGATGATGTCATAAGGTTTCTCTTTTAATAATATTTAGAGATTATTGAATTTCTAATTTAGATTGTTTTAGATATTTTTTTGTTATAATTAATTGTTTGTTGGCCCCATCACTCAAATAAAATAGATCATTCCTTTGGGAAGAACCAATCAAAGAATTTCTTTATATCCATTCTAAGCGTTCTATTTCGTATGGTATTTCGTACGAATAAAGGATACATGGGTAGCTTACAAAATCTATTTTTTAATTGTCTTTCTTTTTTTTCTATTAAAAAAAGACGATTAAAACTAATCAAATCAAAAAATACTTCGAATCAGTGGATATATTAAAATTTCTTAGTAATGGCTAATGGCTGCTCGCGTGATTTGGAAAAGAGTAATAGCACTATCTAAAAAACATGAAGCAGCTCCATCTAATAACTTTTAATTGTGATATGAAATATACTAGGTTGCAGAAAAAGTAGTTTTTGTATCAATTTAAAGTCAGGAAGGGTTTTATAAGATCCAAAAGGTTCGTTGAGCGCCTCATGGATATGTCATAATAGATCCGAACACTTGCCCCAGATCGACTTCCAAATCATAATTGCTCTAGTGAATAACTAAAGAAAATAGATAGATAGGAGATAGAAAACTAGAAGAGAAAGAAACTAATTATATAATAGAAATATCTCTCCGAGATTCACTAAATATTTGACTGTTGGCAGGTCTCTTTGTATGTGTTGTCCGGAAAGAGGATGACTCAATGATTATTCATTCGCCGGAACCAGAAGTAAAAATTTTGGTAGATATGGATCACATAAAAACTTCATTCGAGGAATGGGCTAGACCGGGTCATTTCTCAAGAACAATAGCTAAAGACGCTGAAACTACCACTTGGATCTGGAACCTACATGATGATGCTCACGATTTCGATAGCCATACCAGTGATTTGGAGGAGATCTCTCGAAAAGTATTTAGTGTGCATTTCGGTCAACTCTCCATCATCTTCCTTTGGCTAAGTGGCATGTATTTCCATGGTGCTCGTTTTTCCAATTATGAAGCATGGCTAAGCGATTCGACTCACATTAGGCCTAGTGCCCAAGTGGTTTGGCCGATAGTGGGCAATAAATATTAAATGGTGATGTGGGAGGGGGTTTCCGAGGAATACAAATAACCTCTGGGTTTTTTCAGATTTGGCGAGCATCTAGAATGACTAGCGAACTACAACTCTATTGTACCGCAATTGGTGGATTGGTCTTTGCGGCATTAATGTTTTTTGCTGGTTGGTTTCCTTATCATAAAGCTGCTCCAAAACTGGCTTGGTTTCAAGATGTAGAATCTATGTTGAATCACCATTTAGCGGGGCTACTAGGACTTGGGTCTATCTCTTGGGCGGGGCATCAAGTACATGTATCTTTACCGATTAACCAATTTCTAAATGCTGGACTAGATCCGAAAGAAATACCACTTCATCATGAATATATCTTGAATCGGGATCTTTTGGATCAACTTTATCCCAGGTTTGCCAAGGGAGCAACCCCATTTTTCACCTTGAATTGGTCAAAATATGTGGACTTTCTTACTTTTTGTGGAGGATTAGACCCAGTAACTGGAGGTCTATGGCTAACTGATACGACACACCATCATTTAGCTATTGTAATTCTTTTTTTGATAGCGGGTCACATGTATAGGACCAACTGGGTCATTGGTCATGGTCTAAAAGATATTTTAAAAGCTCATAAAGGTCCATTTACGGGACAGGGCCATAAAGGCCTATATGAGATCCTAACAACGTCATGGCATGCTCAATTATCTCTTAACCTAGATATGTTAGGCTCTTTAACCATTGTTGTAGCTCACCATATGTATGTCATGCCCCCTTATCCATATCTAGCTACTGACTATGGTATGCAACTGTCATTGTTCACACATCATATGTGGATTGGTAGATTTCTCATAGTTGGTGTTGCTGCGCATGCAACCATTTTTATGGTAAGATACTATGATCCAACTAGTCGATACAACGATCTATTAGATCGTGTTCTTAGGCATCGTGATGTAATCATATCACATCTTAACTTGGGGGGGGGGGGGTGATTTAGTAGCAGTGGGTGGCAATGTACCTTTGTTACTTATTCCATTAGGAACGACGGATTTTTTTGGTACATCACATTCATGCATTTACGATTCATGTGACAGTATTGATACTTTTGAAAGGTGTTCTATTTGCTCGTAGCCCCTGTTTGATACCGGATAAAGCAAATCTTGGTTTTCTTTTTCCTTGTGATGGGCCTAGGGGGGGGGGGACATGTCAAGTATCAGCTTGGGACCATGTTTTCTTAGGACTATTCTGGATGTACAACTCAATTTCAGTAGTCATATTTCATTTCAGTTGGAAAATGTAGTCAAATGTTTGGGGAAGTATAAGCGATCAAGGAGTAGTAACTCATATCACGGGAGGAAACTTTGCGCAGAGTTCTATTACTATTAATGGGTGGCTACGCGATTTCTTATGGGCACAGGCGTCCCAGGTAATTCAGTCTTATGGTTCTTCATTATCCGCATATGGCCTTTTTTTCCTAGGTTCTCATTTTGTATGGGCTTTTAGTTTAAAGTTTTTATTCAGTGGGCATGGTTATTGGCAAGAACTTATTGAACCATCGTTTGGGCTCATAATAAATTAAAATTTACTCCTGCCACCTAGCTGAAAGCCTTAAGCATTATACAAGGACATGCTATAAGAGTAACCCATTAACTTTTAGGGGGAATTGCCACAACATGGGCGTTCTTCTTAGAAATAATTATTGCAGTAGGATAATGTCTAGGAGGATTTGAAAGACATTATGGCATTAAGATTTCCAAGGTTTAGCCAAGGCTTAGCTCAGGACCCCACTACTCGTCGAATTTGGTTTGGTATTGCTACCGCGCATGACTTCGAGAGTCATGATGATATTACTGGGGAACTTCTTTATCAGAATATTTTTGCTTCTCACTTCGGTCAATTAGCAATAATTTTTCTGTGGAATTCCTGAAATCTCTTTCATGTAGCTTGGCAAGGAAATTTTGAGTCATGGGTACAAGACCCTTTACATGTAAGACCTATTGCTCATGCAATTTGGGATCCTCATTTTGGTCAACCGAGTATAGAAGCTTTTACTCAAAACCAATAGCTGTGATACCACTGTTGGGTTTTCTACACGTCAAATACACTCTAAACTAGGTAGCAGAAAAATCGAAACTACGATATACCTAAGTGTACATGCAACCTATGGATCTATGGTTCATGCTAATTACATCTACCCTAGAAAACATAAAACAAAGAAGAAAAATATACCTCTTATGTAGCCCTTGATCTCCATGCTTAAGATCTTGATCCTCCATGAAGTTGCTTGGATGAGAGGACCCAAACCAGAATCCCTTTAATGGTATCACACCTAATGACACCAAAGAGTGGAATAAAAATAACTAGGAGAAGGGTCACTTTCACAAACCCTAAGAGGGTTAGAAATCGTCCCTAAGAGGGGGATGAAGAGGGGTTGGCAAACCTTCAAGCCAAGGTGCAAGGAAGAATGAAATCCCTAAGGCCCTATTTATAGCCTTGGATCCGTTCCTAGGTTTTGTACTCCTTCCCATGTGGGATGGAATACCTAGAACGGAATTCACTCCCTTTCCTATGTGGGATGGAGTGATTTTCATCCAGCCGTAATTCCATAAGGGTTCTGGAACATTCCTGATTAACCAACTATCGATTAATGAATAATCAACCCTTTAATTAATTAAACTATTAATTAATTCCCAAAATATTTATCCAATTAGTTTCTAATTAATTATTAACCATAATAATTAATAAACCAATTTCTCCTTTATTTGTTCTACTCAATTTGGGTCTTGAGGGCAACCTAAAACGACCATGTTATTACTAGAAATATTACCAATAGTTAATGACCTTGGACACTCTTCCAACACAATTAAGGTTAGCATTGCATGGTTGTTGTCCTGAAAAGACATCAAGAAGGTTACTTTTTTTCTAATGGGGTTAACACTACTTTTTTTGTTTGTAAGGTACTTATAGTTGCTTTCCTAGCAACCCGTCTCCTTATCGCTTGTTTAAATAAATACTTTACTGGTATCTTTTCTTTTATTGTCGTTTTCTCTCCTATTACGACATGGTATTGTTGCTTTCCTAGAAACTTATATGGAAATTTCTTATTATCGTTGCTTTCCTAGCAACTCTTATTATGAACGGGGTTTTCTTATTACTATTGCTTTCCTAGCAACTCTTATTATGGAAATCTCTTATTATTTCAAGGAAATCTCTATTCCTTGCCCTTAATCTTCTAATTAGATTAAACTCCTAAAGGCTTTTAATATCTAGGAGATCAAAAGTTTTTGGGGATGAAAAGTGTAAAATTTGAAAATTTTGGACATGTGTGACGGGCACTCGATGTGCATCGTGCGCACCTACATCAGATCAACATTAAAGTCGAATTTTGGCCTAATTCAACACTTTCCAACATTCCTTCGGTCCCCCTGATTTTTCTCGATCGGGTCACATACGCACGACGCACACATTGTGTGCCTGCGTCCAATCTTCGATTTCTTCATCTTCTTCGACTCCTCTACTTCCAGGTAACTTCTATGCTTAATCCTTTCTCCTAATTTAGGCTAAATTTCAAGTTTTTGGATTTTTGAGGTTTTTATCAATTGATGAATTTTGATTATTTTTTGTGAAATGGATGAGTAATTAAGCCTACTATACTACCAATTTTACTTCCTAGATACTCAATTTTAGGTTTATTTCATCCATTGATCCTCATTTTGAATTTTAAAATTCGAAATTTTTTCTAAGTTTTTAGCTAAATCCGTAAATTGGTGATGTTTTAGACGAAATGGGTTACTTATTTGTGTTTTAGAAGCCTAGTCGAACATCCCTATATGGTTATTGAGGTGAAAATTGGACGAAACAACAGGTTACCATGCGTGTTGTTCTTTATTTTCCTGGAGCACTCCGCGCAGATGCATGTGCACCATGTCAACTCGCATACAACGTGCACCATGCACGTCTGGTCCATTTCAACATCTTATGCAACATTTAACTAATCTAGCTTATTCCTAACTATCTTTTGTCTATTTTTCTACACATATGTCAAGACGAGCTTGACAAGATGAGGGTCCGTTACCTCCTAACTGCCCATGGCATCCTTTCCTATAGTTCCCTGATGATCTTCCTGATCAGGGTTCTTTTGTTTCTCGTCTGATCTCTCTTTTGTCCAAGAATATCGGCATTCCTCAGGCTCTTTCCTGGAGGGATGAGGACGAGTCTGGGTTGACATCTCGTTTGGAGCCATTCCTTACCCGTGTATTGTCAGATGATAGCAGTCTTGAGCTTTTTGTCTGCCACGCATGGCGGCAGATTGTTGGGGTTCGGCAGGTGATTTACAAGGAGCTCTGCTGAGAATTCTTTTCGAAAATCCACTTTGGTAAGGCATCGACGAGATGGGTTGACATATCAGTCTTTACTTTTTGCCTGGGAGACGTATCCCGCTCCTGCAGCCTGATCGATCTGGGGAGGCATCTGGGGATGTATACAGCATAGTAGACTCTGAGTCCTCATTTTTATGCCTATCTTGATAGCTGTATTACTGAGCCACCTCAGGAGTACAAATACATGAAGGTATGGGGTCATGCTAGGGGGACCTATGTTTCCAGGACGTCCAAGGAGAGCGCCTTCCGATTTCCTACATATCAGTAGATCCACCGATTGGTCGCTTCTACTGTTTGTGACCGCGAGGAGTCTGACAAGGTTCCTTCTAGCGACCTCTTTTATATGTGGTGCCTCACTCAGACTGAGGTTTTCCTTCATCTTTCCTTTGCCCTAACTCTATATTTATCTGGTATGACTCTAGGTTCTATGCCTTCGAGCAGGATTTGCGGGGGTCATTGGGTCACCCGGTTGGCCCTATCTTATGATGTTGACACTAGAGATATGGTTCATATGCCTATCCAATAGATGGGTACTACCAATATAGGGAAGATGTGGTTGTTGGTTCCGGTTAGGCGGTAGTGGAGGATTCCATATGATGATATTGTGGAGCCAATCCGACAGGTGGAATCGGAGGACATCCCTGATCCTGCCTTTGAGAGGTGTTAGAGGCCTAGGCATGCAGAGCCTGATCACCCAGAGGCGACTCTACGTGACGTGATGCTGTGTCTGGATGTTGCACAGGAGGAGCATTGTTGGATCAAGGCTTCGATTGCTGGGGTGATACATCATCTGGGGATGGACCATACACCTTTTCCTCAGGCGGGTCCTGCTGTCCCACCCCTTGTTCAGCCATCTCATGATGGTGCTGGTACTTTAGGAACACATCATTGGGATACTAATGATGACAGTGACGAGGGCACGGAGGATGATGATGGTAAGTATGAGAGCAGTGATGAGTAGGTTGATGTGTTTGGGTTGATACTTTGTATTTGATACTTATTTTGTGGGATGTATTTGACACACTTTATGAATGCTTTTGATTTGTGTCTGTATATATATATATGGTTTCTATTTTATCGTTTATCTAACCCTAATTCAGTCGATGTATTGGTTCAGTCAATACTAAACATAGTTGATCAGGCTACATTTAGGGGTGACTCAACCTTTACATAATGAACCAGCTTAGATAATTGACTTATATATATATATATATATATATATATATATATATATATATATATATATATATATATATATAGATCATGCTACATTTAGGGGTGACTCAACCTTTACATAATGAACCAGCTTAGATAATTGACTTATATATATATATATATATATATATATATATATTGCGTTTTTTATTTGTATACTTTATTTATGATTGGCGGAAATTATTATTTTGTACTTCTAGACTATCAAAATAGGGATTAGCCAGATGAGAAGTGTCAGAGGGCAGGACCATTTTAGCATATAACCATTCTGAAATCCAGCAACCCAAGCGACAGTTCAAACTAGTCACCTCTCATTGAATTAGTCTATTAGTAGGGCAATTAATAGAAATACTTTTATTTATAGGTTTGAGGGAAAAACTAATCGGAGTATATGTCCT